TTTGTTAAAGCTGGCATATTGACAGACTAAAATGTTTGAAGGAGAGTGCAGTAATTCAGAATTTGCTTACTACAATATAATATACGTAACTCTTTCTGATTTTAATATCACACGTAAAATGTTTTGTCATTACTAGCCTTTGCAAAAAGAACGTTCCAAAGTTAACACCCTCTTCGTACTGCGGTTCCGTACTATTGAGGTACTTACTCGTTAACTCGTGCTTCAAAAAAACTTCTTAATGGGGGCAGTGGAAGACAGAACCCTAAGAATCCCGGAGTTCAAAACTACTGCAGTTCAGCAATCAGTTGCTGCTGCGCTGTCATCGTCAAATAAAACTCGGCTTGACGGAATCCCTATAACAGCAAAATAATCTTGCTTTAATCCCACCGCAATCTAGTACATTACTTTAACTAGAATCAGCCGCTCTAGTACAGAGTGCAAAGTAACTACTAGGAAGATTGTCTCCTAATCTTTATTTTAATTTCTAGAAACAACACCTCTTTAATGATTCAAACACTGTTTCATGAAAACTTTTTACGTTACACTAATTTTGCAAACGTTTCCACTCACTGTCTCAGCTGCTAATTTTGCGCTGCCATATTTTCTATAAATGCGATCTTCAAACTTCTTGAAACACTACTAACTCTCTGTACCATGTTTCACTCCAGTTTTTAATTTTATACTTCCTTTGACAGCTTTTGCACCTCAGTCGCGACCGGAATGCTCACTAATCGTTTTCCTCACTGACCTTCGTCCCCCGAAATCAATACCAACCGTGTGCCAAATCGCAAATCCGGTGATAAAAGCCGCATAAATCCTCATGGCCTCAAAATTTCCATCAAGGAAGGAAAAACGAAAGAATGGCTCAGAAATCGTAGTCACAAGAAAATCGTCAATTTTGGAAATAAAGAGGAAAGAAGTAGACTATTAAAAATGAAATTGCCGTATAAATCTACAAATTACAGCCTTTATCGCAAAGCATAGTCGATAATTGAAACTTAAGATGCTGTAGCCGTAATGCATCACACAAAAATGAGCTGTGAAGATATTCGTTTTTGAAAACAAATTTAAACAATATTTTTTTAGAGCTCAACAGATTCAAAAACCGTAATGATCTCTTACCTCTTCTAATAAAAACTGCACAACGAATAGGCCGAAAACGATTTAATCAATGGGTTAGTACCATTTCAACGCACAGTTACCCCTTTAGAATTTTATCAAGTGAAAAACTACCAGTTAACATGCAAAGACTATGCAGTATCCTTAAATATTTCAAAAAGAAACTGAAACCCTATGTATATTTGGAATTAATAGGCGTTTATTTTCAAATAGGTTTGAACGCACCAAATCCTATAGGAAAATGAACAGTTTGCAAGCCTACGATGTCAGTCAATTCAGGCCAGAAAACAGTTTAAGTATAAAATTGAATTTTTAGAGATAATAGTGCAATGTGCACTCCAACGTCTTAACTTTGACTTTTAAGATTATCAGGCGCATGCGCTTTAAAAATTCAAACGTTTCAAGTTGTAATATTATATTTCTTACTGAGCATATAGTAATCTTGCTTCTTCCTTGGAAACTAGTAGCGAAAAAAAAAATAAAACCAGACCAAAGCATTACCATTGGTACTACACATCCCATACTAAATAGCCGGCGAAGCATCCATCGCAAAGCTTGAGCAGCTAAGAAAAGAAAACAAAGAAATATAATAAGAGATTTTTTCCTTGCCAGACAGAAGATTAACAGATACACCACAGAATACCTTATAAGCCTCGTACAGAAATGCTTTAATTTGGGTTTTTTGTTCCACATTACTTCGTTTCACGTTCTAGTTACTTCTTCCACCCTTCCAGAACCCACAGCGACCTCGAAGACTTATTATTCAATACAAGAGACAAGTGGAAACAGGTTACACGTTACAGTCACTGAATGATTAAACAGCAACAACCCTAACCCTTAAAATACAACTGTCCTCAACCTTCCTTCCAGTACCTGCAAGTCTAATTAGTGAAAGAAAATATGCAGTTAAATATTTCAGTCTCAAAATTCACGAACCAAAAGTCGAAAATATACCACTACTTGTACTCAATCTAAACATCACTTTATTTTAAACATCTTGTAAATGCAATTAAAAAAGTTATTGCAGATCTTCTACTGCTGCTGACCCTCATAGGTGCCACCATCGGAATGGTCACTGTTGCAGTTTTTTCTACGCGCCTTAGAGAAATAGAACCTTTGAAAAGAGAAGAAAGTTTTGAGGAGCATTAAATACGAGTGCTATTACTGTTGCTCGGCAAAAGGATCTCGCAAATGATGTTATAAGATTGGATAAACCAATTTTCAAAAACTAAACCAACAATACCGAATACGAGATTGCAACGCAAAACTAATTAGTCAACAGAAAACTAGTGTCTCAATGTCCCTTAAACGCTTTTTAATTTCAAAAAAACGGAAAGGAAACCTTCCATTAAAGATGCAGCTAATCAACATGAAGTTAGAAAAATACTGAAAAAGAAGCTAACACTGCTAAAACCGCAGTTATCTTGAAGATCACCTGAAATTGTAAACAAAATAATCTCTTACCTTTCATGCACCCTTGCTTATAGTTACAATTGAAGAAAACAGACACTCCTGAACTCCTTAACTCATCAGTAAAATCATAAAGCACTCAATGAACGACTTCGACCTCCCACCTAAATCGACCTTTCTAACTCTGGCAGCCGTGAATAAAAAAATACAAAACAAATAGAACAAATTAATGAGCATTCCGGACAGCTACACTCAAACTGTCCTTCTATTTTTGTGGATCCAAACAATGAAACGACCATAAAATTGGTTATGAAAAAATATGCAAAGTGAACAATCCACAACGCAGAACGAAGAGTAATAGGTTTAAAACTAAATGAGGCATCACCTTCCACTGAATCATTTTACGCACGCACCTACGCAGTAAATCCTTGCACAAGTTTATTGCAAATTCTAAACTTCTTATTTACGTGTAATACACTACTGAAAAGATTCGAACAGATAAAAACTACTAACAGCAGAGTTGGACATTTCTAGTCCTAGAAGACATCCACCCTGAACGCAGTATACCTATACTGTTATTCTAAAATACTCCGAAAAATATCGAACAACATAACTGTATACACTTAATAATTACAATTGATTAATCTTTATTCTACAGAAAATTACTGCTGAAACCCATTTTTAGGTCTGTATCCCAATTTATAAGCAACTCCGTGATAGGCAGGCGAATCATGAAAATCGATCATCATTGTCGCATCCAAATAACGCGGTCGTTTAGAAACCTAAAGAATAATTTAGAAAAAAGCTTAGAAGTCACCAACTGGAAACCGTTGAAAAAAGCCACTTTACATGTTTATGAGCTCCGTCACAGAGAGGTCGGGCTTCAGTTTGCTTACAATTGCACAAAGAGTAAATACCACTTTTTTCGACTTTGAACTCAACTGGCCGAAGCGAAGTTAAGCCTGGCCTTTTACATTCGTCATTACACCATGGCTAAAAATTCTGACCTTCATGAAAGAATTAATCACTTAAAGAATAAAAAAAGCGTAATTTTTAAACAGACACAAGTAATCCATACAAAATCTGACGGAGGAAGACTGATAAAAACTTGCCCACATCCAAACAGATTTGCCTTCAATCAAACATTATAAAACGTCGCGCTCAAAAAGTTTGAAAAATTACATTTCAGTTTCTATCTAAAGCCACGAAATGAATAACCATCTACCTGCTCACAACTAAGACCACAACTGCACCAACGATAAGTTTTGCCTTCCTCCAATTTCATTTTCATTGAACGTGGCTCCACGATTCTACCTTTCCATGGCAACATCTCTGCCGACGGGTTCTCGATGATAATAGAACTTTTAGTCCGCAGTGAAAGAAAACGTAACTGAAAAGTACTAAAATTTTGAAAGTAGCCATAAATAAAATTAGATTAAGATTCTAAAGACTGCTGCTGGTTGCAAGTACCAAGCGGCGGCGGTAAACTGAAAGTCAAGTCAAGATTTCAATAATCCTAAGTTTCTCGATGAAAATGCCTATTGATTTCTAATTCAAGTTGAAAAAAACCTTTAAGCTGAAATTAAAGAGAAAAAAGAGATATCTTCACATTTATTAAACTACATTCAACTAGATGTATGCGCTGCCTAAAAAAATGAAAGAAAAAAAACAAAAATGATAAAACTACAACTACTTGTAGCTCAAACCCTCACGATGCCATAGGCTAAAACAGAAAAAAACGAGTGGAAAAAATATTCTTAAAAAAGAAGTTTGAGAAAAGAGAAGAAAAAACAAAATACAAACAGGAAAAACTTACTATACCACAGGAAGCAAGCAAACCCTTCTGCTGTTGCATCTAAAAAATTCTAAGCATCAAAAGAATCAGATCAGCCATAACTGAACATTTAAAAGCAAGAAAATACAAATATGGACGCTCGCGCGCAAAGCATACAACAAAATATTCACAAAAGTTCCGTAAGTTCTACATGGCGTCTTCAAAAAACTAACGGAAACACAATTTAGCTGAAACGACAAACGAAGAACTAGCCACCCGCCTGGAAGCTTCCGAACCTCAATCACTCTAAGCTTTAATGCTTAACCATTGCAAAAAGCATTTGGCTCCTAACCAGGAACGAGTTTTTCGCCTTGAGACATGTATTCAAATTTTAATTCTGTCGAGCAGTACAGCGCTAAATCGATTACGTATTCCTAAGAATGCAGAAAAATTTGGTCTTAACGTTTAACCTGGCCCTACCTCCACCATAACACAATTCCTGACAACTCTCTGCTGCGGTGAAACGCTTACCTGTAATTATTGCTGTCCCGAAAGGTTAAAGTTTTCGGTTCAGTGCTAAATGTTTTCTTTAGTATTTTTAAATTCAGGGACTTCTGTTTCGAATTTTTAATCATTAATGCATCACAAGGTTAATTTTAAGATTAAAAAACTTTAAAATATCTCAGTGCAGTTTTTCCAACCAGGATTTTTAGTTTTTTCTAAATTGCAGTTGTTACAGAAAAGTGGCTTTTTCCAAGATCTTTTATATGCTTGATAATTGGTCAAAACCGTTATTTTTATATTTTTCAAAACCGGCCATTAGCTTACCGTTTGCATAAAACGCTCTGATTTGTTGAGGTTTTCGGCGTAGTGAAAAAATGATGAGAAATTATGAAACTCTGAAAGTGTAAAGCAACATGGAACAAAACATGGGCATATGACGACCTCAAAGCCATTGTTGAAATTTGAACGGTTACAGCTTTTTGCGAATCACTTCTGCGGTGGTGCCACCGCCAGCAGTGCATTTTGGCTAAGAGGGTGCGTGAAGAAATAAACATTCATCGTTTCAAAATGGTAATTTCAAAACGAATATTACCATTTCCATTATAATACTTTGAACAACACTGACACAGTTTGGAAAAAGTTTTAACTTTTTTTCTTCACTGAATTAAAAATTTAGATTTTAAAGCTTTTGTAAGTTACGCATCTTATTATTATTGTTATTATTATTATTATTATTATTAATAT